CTGAACCTTCTCTCGCTGCCTTTTGTTAAATACAATGCACCGTTATTATATCGGTTTCTGCGCCCATTTGGGATTACAGCATTTTAAACAGTGAACTGGACCAGCGGCACGTTTGCTGCCAGTGTAATAGGACCCAGGTGCGTTGTCATAGCACACCTCTCAAAGTCTCGTGGTCGTGCACGTTGTATATAAGCTCCATCAGTGGCACATTTGGTGCAGATGTAATAGGACACAAGTGGGTTGTAATAGCACACCGCTCCAAGTCTCGTGGTCGTTGTATATAGGCTAGAGCAGCAGCACATTTGGTGTCAACGTAATGGGACCCAGTTGGGTTGTAACAGCATACGGCTCGAAGTCTCGTGGTCGTTGTATATAGGCTCCAACAATGGCACATTTGGTGTCAACGTAATAGGAACCAGGTGGGTTGTAATAGCACACCGTTCCAAGTCTTGTGGTCGTTGTATACAGGCTCCAACAGTGGTACATTTGATGCCGATGTACTAGGACCAAAGTGCGTTGTAACCTCACTTGACTCCGAGGGTTGTGCTTGTAGTATACAGGCTCCGACAGTAGCGCACTCACGCTAATGCTGTGGTAGCATCAGCTAATGCATACTGTTGGCTGAAAGTCATCCCAATTAAGTTTCGTTTGGACGAGAATTGGTAATTCAACATCAATTTAGGGTTTGGGCTTGCGGCTACTGCATTGCGTAATTATAATTAATAGGTGGCTTTCGCTTCACGTTTACGATATTTTTAACATGCAACTTTCGTTGCTGAAGTTCAATGGGCGTTGGAAGATATACTGGGTGACCAAAGGGTCGTTCATAAGGTGTGCATTTGCACTGCTGATGGCCAAAAGTCTGGTCATTTAGGGAGTTACACCACTCACACGACGGCACACGCTTTCACTGCTCACGCTGAAAGGATGCATATTCCGTCAACGTTACGTGGTAATCAATTACAGACTGGTAAGTACGTACTACCACAGTGACGAATTGTTCATCACCCATGGGGCGCTAAAAGTCACTTGTGCTGACAGAAAGTACGGTTAAAAAGAAGGATTTAGCGCACTAAACAGCGCCGATAATTATTTAGAACATTAGTTAACAATATCCATGGACATATAAAGACATTTATCTTCATCTCCTTTTGCTTCTCCGCGAGTGGCCAAAAGCACGCTTCAGTGTTAGGGCTCGCTGTACATATGTATAGATAAAATGATAATTCATAGGTACAATAATGCTGCATAAGATTCCTATGAGTTTACAAAATCTTGAGAAGCCACTTAATTATGTCTGATATGATGTATACACTGCTATGAAACTTATGAACCCCAAGTGTTAATCATTTCATTATATTAATAATGCGTTTCACATTAAAATTCCGATGCTAAAAATATCGGCACAATAGGAGACTAATTAAATAGTCCATGACGAAACTAAAAGTGGACGGCGTCAAACATGAGCCACTAGGCTCTAAGTTCCAGCCAAACTCAGGCTATCTCCAACTGATGAGTCCCAACCAGGACGAAACCGCGGTCTTGGGGTGCCAGTGTTGGGATGAGCAACACTATAATGGACGGCAGGAATTTTTAATAAGTGGGCTCAAAAACGGTATGCTTATCTTTTATACATTGTAGTGGATAATTTCAACTTTATTTACCAATACTGCATTAGTGTTACGCATATTTAAGGAAAATATAGCTGCATGCATTACACACTTCGAAGTTTCCAAATCGATAAGTAGGCGCATAGTAACGTCAGTTGGGTATTAGCAATTTTGCAACACAGCGTGCCCAGCTGATTGAGTGGACACCAGTTTGCATTCTTTTGAAAACCTTTCTGCTGCACATTTCGTCCGTGTTCTGGTTTGCGTCTAATAACATCTAGACAGGACGCCCAGAAGCCAATGCTTCTGGTTTCCATTGTAAGATCTCAGACGATGATACTGTCGAGGTTGCCTGGGATAAATTTAAGTCCTACCTCACAGAGGTCTCGGCTGCCTTCATCCCAGTCAGAATGAGAAAGAAGGCCCGAGCACAGCCGCCTTGGATAGATCCCACTGGCAGGCATCTGCTGACAGAGAGGTTTGGATGTTGGCGGACTTACCGCGATGCTCCGTCCACCGATACTTATGACAGGTACCATAAGGCTAGAAATACGTGTAAGCAACACCCAAGGAATGCTCGGCTCAATTTTGCAAAAGGGTTAGCAGACGAAGCTTCAGAGAATCCAGAAAGATTCTTCGCTTATGTCAAAAGGCGCTGCGCTTCGAACATGTCAATTCCAGTATTGATGCGTGATGACGGTACTCATGCGCATACGGATTATGACAAGGCCTGCGTACTCAGTGGGCAATATGCGGCAGCGTTTGTAAGGGAAACCTCTTTGACAGGCGTTGAGCTGGTTTGCAGGACCCCACAGGGTTCAGAACTATCTGAATTTATTGTAGCGGAGACAGGAGTTCGTAGGCTGTTACAAGGGCTGAACCCTTCTAAGGCCTCTGGGCCTGATTTAATTCACCCGAAACTGTTGCATGAGTTGGCTGCGGAACTAAGCGGACCGCTCGCTATTTTGTTTCAGAACTCGCTTGACAGCTGTGCATTGCTATCCGAATGGAAGGAAGGTGTCATCTGTCCCATCATCAAACATAGGACAGGGGTCTGCCTGCAAATTACAGGCCAGTTAGTCTGACGAGTGTAGTAGTCAAACTCCTCGAGAAACTGGTGAGAGATGCATTGGAGAGTCAGCTGAGTAGATTTAATCTACTTAGCAATGCACAACACGGATTCCGGAAGGGGTTTTCGTGTCTGACGAATCTGTTGGTGGCTCGCGAAAATTGGGCGGATGCAGTGGATAACGGCCACGCGCTGGATGTGCTTTTCGTCGACTTTTCGAGGGCATTTGACAAGGTACCCCATCTGACGCTCGCGCAAAAGCTGTCCTCCTACGGGGTATCTGGCCGCGCCCTTCATTGGGTGGCTGCCTTGTTGGAGGGTAGAGAACAGCGTGTACGGGTAGGCCGGGGCCTATCGCTTAGGCAGTCTGTCCTCAGCGACGTGCCGCAGGGCTCAGTCCCTGGACCGCCGTTGTTCTCTATCTATGTGAATAACGTACCCCCGGAGCTTGAAGCACCATCGCTGCTATTTGCTGATGACCTAAAGCTATGGAACATTTTTGATGTTCCTGGGGGTTCCGAAGCTATCCAGCGAGCATTGCATAAGCTTTGGGACTGGCCTGCTTTATGGTTAATTCCCATAAATCAGACAAAGTGCTCCGTTCTTCGAATTGGAGGAGGTTGTCCTCCTGCAAAGTACTTGGTCGGTGGGGTCGAACTCCCCGTGTATCTAGCCAGGTTGACCTAGGCGTCGTACACTCTCTGGCTTTACACTCCGGCGACAACTGGAAGAAGGCCGCAAGCAGCGGTTTCCGCATGTTGTGGTTAATCTGACGTTCTTTCGGAGTCTTGACGGGCGGCATCTTTACGAGGCTGTTCTCGGCTTTCGTTCGGCCTCATCTGGAATACTGCGTCCAGGCTTGTCCGCCCTGCCTCGTCCGGGACACAATGGAGCTAGAGAGGGTTTTACGAGTGGGTACTAGGTTAGTCGAGGGATTACGGGGACGGACGTACCCCGAGCGTCTACTTAGTTTGGGAATGCATTCAATGCACTACCGAAAGCTTAGAGGAGATATAATCCTAACCTATCGTAGCTTGACTGGGAAGATTGGTCCAGATTTATCTTGGCGATTCAGTCCCGCTAGATTGTCTGTTCTACGCGGTCATTCGTTGAAGCTGGACAAACCTCGGTCCGATCGGATTAGGGCGGAAACCGACTGTCACGCCGGGTTATCGACCGCTGGAACATGCTTCCGGAAAGTGTTTTCAGAGAATCTACGGTTAAGGGGTCTGAGCGGCAACTTGACGCTCTTGGGTGGCAACGCGGAACCTTTCCATTTTCCTGAGTAATTCGCATCCTCGTACTTCGATTTTCCTTTTTTACTTTTCTTTCCGTATTGGTATTATTTTCTTATTTAAGTGCACTTCCCTATTCTGTACCTTCGATTTCTCTTCCTATCCTTTGCTTAATTCACGTGACTGCCACAGCAGGGACTGCTAGGCAGGAAACGTGGGCATTAACTGGTTGGCCAGAGGGCGATACGGGTGTTCCGTTTTAGACCCATTAATAACTGAGCACTTCATCAATTCCTGGCTCAACGATCCACTCAAGATAGAACATTCGCGGGATTCTCCTATCGTTCCAGTTCCCATCGGGACTGAACTGAACTGAAGAGGCATAAAAGATAACCCAAGGACTATTAACGCACGCTCGTGCGAACACGCTTGTCACAAAAGAAAGCTTTTACGGTATACGTTGCGGAAATGCAATGTATTTAACGGACTGCGAATTAGTTGAATACAGCATGCATGAAAATGGGCGACCTAACTTTGACTTTTAGCATCACAATGCGCTCACTGTGCAATATTGGACATAAAGGCGTGGAGATTTCTTTGTCTAATTAATTTACCAAATTTACAGCATTTAGTTCACCGTATTGCCAAGCATTCGAATCGGCGGCAAACGGTTAATAGCTTTTTAGCACACTAAAACACACTTTTAAGGTTACACCAGATTAAAATGACAGAGTCTAGTGGTCAATTGTTTCGATTCCGTCCAACCAATCAACAGACGTCACCATCTATAAAGTGCCCTGCTAGGTCTGCGACTAATGGGCAGCCTAGATTACAAATTTATCATACTAAATTTCATCAAAAGCCGGTTACATTATTATAATCTTTCATCTTATAAATGTACATATACATAGCGTCCATCGTGTAGTTTTGCTTCTCCAAGAATACTTAAACCTTTGTTGTTTTATTTTTCCATTTATATGAACGTACCTCAGGGAATCTATGAATATGCTAACCGCTGTCGCGCACTTTATTCGCACATAGCGGTTTACCGTTTCTTTGTTGACCTACAGAGTATAAGACTTTTAAATGTCAGCCATCACAGTCGACGCTAGTGATTTGCTGTCGCAGCATGTGCCTGAGAAAAGGAAAACCAAACACAGGTATGCATGTGTATCATGCACATGGTATAATCTTTCCAATTACAGGATATTCGTAAACCGAAGTCTGCAGCTAAATAAAATACGTTTTTTTGGCTTCGACTTGGATTACACACTTGCGCGTAAGAATTGTAGTATTTTTCCGCATTATTCAGAGTACAAATCACCAGCGTATGAAGAGCTGTCCTTTAATATATTAAAGGAGCGCCTGAGTTACTGGGGCTATCCGCCAGAAATCATGAATTTCAAATATGAACCATCTTTTCCTATTCGGTACGCATTGCGTGGTATTTTTTTACACTTTAAAGTATTGTTTATGTTTGCTTTGCATACGTTCTCTAAGATGCATGCTCCCGAAAACCTGCGGTTTCCAGCTTGGTATGAGGATATATTTATGAAATATTCCTGCCGGTTGTAAACTTACTGATTATAAGATGCGCTGTTTTGACATATCATGTTTTGGTTCTGAGATGCCAAGCAGCTTTAAGGCTGTACATTTCCATTAAGGCAAATCGACAAAGCTTTCAGTATTCATAGACTTATACAGTTGTAGAAGGAAAGTAACTTCTATCCATTACTGAGTTTATTTAGGCTGTAGTTTCTTAATTAATTTGCTTTATCTTGTTTTGTTTGTCTTTGCTTATGATGAAAAATGGCTTTTGGAAACAGGTTTATGTTAGTACATTGGGTTTATTCGTTAAATTGCATCCAAAAACAAACCAGTAAATTTCTATATATTTTCTATAGCTCGTTATTAGAGGTAAAAAAACATAAGGTTTGCTGTGTTAAATGCACACAACTGTTTTCGGTCGAACAATTTAGCGCAATGTTTGTAGAACATTTTACTTAATTCTGTGTTACCTACTATCCACTGACGTCAAGAAAACGTCTACCATATTAAAGCATTTCACATGGCATAAGGAAATACGGGAAATGTTAGGGAGTTCCTCGAATCACGGTACTCTGCCATACATTCGATAAAGTTATGTGTTTACAGCAGTCTGGTTTACAATAGGATGATAGGATAGGAAATAAACAGCTTAAAATGGCCACATAGAGTAACAGGAAGTCAACGCAACACCGAAAACTGCCTGAGTTTCGAAATGACTTAAGTCTATAAAGGGCAGTCTGCTGCCGTTTAGTGAGCAAATTTGAAGTAAGTTCAAAGGCAATATATTCGGCAAAACTCAGGTAAGCGGCAAAATAACCCAATTGTATTTGAAGCAATAACACATTGTTAATTCACCTGGTTTAGTAAACATCAGCAACCCACTTAAAAAGCTAGGCATCTTCGTAAAAACTGGAACTAAAATAAGTCAATATTTTTATGTATTTTACAGATTTCCGGGCTAAATATCTTGTGCTCACCGCAGGCTTCACTGCTTCGAAAGATAATATGTTCTGTAACCGTGCCTAGATTTCACTTGTTTGCAAGGTTTGATTAATCAAATAATACGTGCTTAAAGTTTATTCGTCCACACTACATCTTATCGTAGTCCAGCATTTCTTATCTAACACTGTGCGTTGACCCAAAGCAGATCATAAAATTGGCATGCAAGCACATGCTGGAGGAATAGTTTGCACTAATTTCATGTTTCTTTTCGCACAAGGCTACTTTACTGCTATTATCAGCCAGTTTGTCCGCAGTAGTCATGTAACTGCTTAACTTAATATAAATTTGGTTCAAAATAATACCTTGACTTCACTTGCTCCAAACGATTGATTGGGAATTTCTAGCTTCACGTTAATTGCTTTATCTTTGATACAACAACAACTATATCTTGGCGAATCTGCTATGCCCTGTCGTGTGACGGTGTGCATCGCACTTCATCGGTCCTGTAGCTATCGGTGCCCAACTGAGCTGTTTCTATTGAGAAAATCAGGGAGTGATTTCCTTGTATAAATAAAAGCCTTCTAGACCCCTTCAGTAATTGGAAGCTGCAACCTGGAAGCATGGTAAAATTAATCATGGTGAAATCAAACACAACCTAGCACCTGTATCATTTGTTTGCTATGTAAACTAAGGCTTCTTTCTTAAATGTAGTGTTAAGATAAAACGGGAAGTTACTTTAGCACTACGGTAAGGAGCTTCTGCTATTCTGTTGTGGTATCGTTTATGGGCAGTATATTTTGCTAACGACTGAGCTGCTTGCAAGTGTAAGTTAATCGGCTAATTGTAACATAGTAAAATCCTTGTACCTTGACCACTCAAGGTACTATAACGAAGTAGTCGGCATATGGTGGTAGTCAACAACAAGATCTTGATCCACATGGCCTACACGGGATTGTTCATGCAAAGAACTATATTTAGATAACAAATGGAGGTGTTAGTATTTAGAAGCGGTCAACTACGTAGGTTATACACCATGTCGTTTGCAGCAGTTCCGACTTATTATTTCATTTATCCATGCAGATATCTAGTATTAAACCACACATGTTGCTTTGGTTGACAATAACTGGTTAATGTGCCAATTCTTAAAACTGAGGTTAAATAAATATTTACTATCAATTAAACAGCAAGCCGGTGTATAGTAGTTTAAATCAGTGTGCAACACAGGAAGGTATGCAGCACTGGATAAAAAGTAGCCGGTGGAAGTACAAGTAAGGACCGATGCGGTTAAAGTCAAAAGTTTGCTGGCAGCTTGCAATGAAGATCAAATTGTCGGTCTGAATTAGCAACGCGAACAATAAATTAATGTTCTATTTAGCTACCTTGCGCAGTAGAATAATTTATGCGGAGTAATTTTCATCAATTTTAGAAAAAGTCTTGTGCACTGCTATCAAAAACAAAAAGAATAAATAACATGAGGTTGCGTTGCTTCATCGTTTATATTTGGTGCACAATTTCTGCATAACATTGGTATTATTTTAACAAGCGTACCTACAAATGAAGTGCAAACGTAAAATATGAGGTAGTGCATTTTCTTGGCTTAAACAGTTAAGTTGCAGAAAATATGGAATGAAAGGATAACAGTGCTAACTTTGCAAGAGGTAGTCGCAATTTCGCTTTAATGTGACTTTGGCTTCCGTTTTTATAAACATTACAAAACGCGTTTCTTAGCATGTAAGCGCAAATATCAAAAGCCTTTTCTACTTTATGCTCAAACCGCTTGCTTGCTTAGATTTTGTTATGCGGTTAGTATATTACTTTTTATAGCTGTTATGATAAAGGCTTTATGTCGATTTTAGATCAGAAATATTAAACAAATTTTTATGCAAATAATTTAAAGTAGTGCCTGTCCTATGTTTTTATCGTTAACGAGTTAGTCAGTTTTTCTTGTTTCTAGACAGACGCAACTTTCTAGGCTTAATTTGAAACACTTTTAGTGGTCTTTGGTTTGATCGGACGCACGGTACATTTCTAAAGATTGATCAATTTGGAAGCATACTAAGCTGCTTAAGAGGATTCAAGATAATTTCTGGGTTTGTTTATGCATTTTTTACAAGCTTGTTTTATTCAGAGAACAACTACGACAAATGTATCCAAACAAGTTCATCAAATACGATGAGAAGCGTATTGAAATAATGAACAGTTTATTTAATCTTCCAGGTAAAGAACATACACGGTATACTATTTCAATCCACAGGGATGTATATGCTGTCGTGCATAATTCATATGTTAACAAGTGATCCTTCCCATGTTCTAATGGAAAATGGGATCCAAAATGGCGACTTGTATATGTCATATGCATCAATACACGAGGACGTTAAGTGTGCTGAGGAATGGATGCATCAAGTGAGCTAAGATATAATAAAAGTTATGTGTACATTTTGTGAGATACTTCAAACAAACGTGCCAAAAGTACTCAAGTAGTAGATAACTATCAGCACTTGATTCAAGCCAACTGTCAATTGTTATATCGCTTTTAGTAACGGCTTATATAAAAAAAGCCAAAACCTTTTCTTCCATCTAAGCGTTTTAAACAAACATGGTATACTATTTCATTTCACTGAAACTTACAAACTGATTAATAAACGCTACCTATACACTAACCAAATAATTTTTCTGCTAAAGTTGGTCATTAAAGTTGCATTTGCAGGTATGCAGGAAAAGCAAAAGCAAAGCTCAACCTTTTACTGATGAGGTTGATGGCAATAGGCAAACAATAAGGCAGCGTTAACATTGTGCACTGAGAGTTTAAGTAATGGGTCTAACATAGTGGGATCTAATGTATATATACTCGTTAGGGAAAGCTTTCGAATATATGCAAGTATGTTATTGACTGGATTATTCTGCCAGCGGTATTAAGACAACTAACACTTCTCCGGGTCTAGTTATAAAACAGCATTCCCGAAGAGGGCGTGCATTTGCTAACTTAAGTCAACGGCGCAATGTCTTCGGTATTAAGCACTACATATTTTGTTGTATCCACATAATGCACTTTATGCACCGCCACTTTCAGTATGCTAGTCTCCTGTCACACGTACCATATAAATCCGCTTAGTATTATTATTTTATGGATCAGTCACTAGAAGTATAGGATCACAATATTGAATGTTGAAATCAGTTTGCGTTCCGGCTCTATTTCGCAACCTTACGTTTACGACAGCAGTCGCTATCACTCTCATTATGCACTTAGGCTAGCCGTGGGAACACAACCATTGTATCGCCACAGTCAGCTAAAATAATAATAATACTAATACTAAAAATAAGAATAAGTTGCAACACAAGCGCGCCATTTAAGACCCCAGTACCGGCCGTATATCTTACCGGCACGTTAGCAGCGGGCTGTTGGGACACAAAACGTTAGCTTATACTTTATAAATAAGTTCTTACTGGCAGTGTGCTGCTAAGCTAGAGGGAGGGAAATAACGTAAAGCTAATAGTATGTATACTGAAAGTTGAAATTAAAATGTTAAATTTTTGGTAGCAAAGAAAAACCATGTTCTCAATTGGGTGGATCCTATTTTCCGTCTACATCGTGAATACGCAGGAAAAGCTACCAAAGATTGTGCGTCCACGAGGATGAAATAGATACATTTTGTTGAAGAACATCCCTTGGGGATTTCCCCGATTTTTGGCAGTTTACGCACCTTTTCATTTGTTTCGTTGCGGTACATGTTCAGGGACTATTTAGACGTCAGGTTCCTAAATAGTAAAGCAATTCGAGTTTTCAACAAAAGCAAGCAAATGTTACGCCACTTTAGGCAAAGGTTAGAATTAACAAAACTAGCGAATGCGAAGCAAATTATCTGGGTAGTATATAGACTTATGTTTTGAGCAACTCAACTGAAATGCTTAAAAAAGAAAATGATATAAGTAATACATAATTTCGGCCTTTTATACCCAATTGCAGTTACAGCTGCGTTGAATGAGCATGGTAAAGCTAGGTTTACAGAAGAGGGGGAGATATAAACTAATGTTAACGGTCCATACATTACTTCAAAAATGGTGTTAAACTTGTGTGCCCCAAACAGACATATAATGAGTAACAGAGAAGCTGAGCGGCTGCATGTGTCCACCAGCTTCTCTCCAACCATAACCGCAGCGCTAGGTTTAACGAAGAACGTTGACTGTAATGAAAGCTGAGGGATTCTTGGCTAATTAACTAAAGAAGAATAGAACCCGGTTTGTGTTTTCCATTTGTTGTTACCTGTAGCTGGAGTTGTAGGCGTCGCATAGCCGTGCTCAGGCTAAGCAAGGTTTCATTGACGCGGATGTCTTTTCACAGCCTAATAGAAAGTGCCTCTGAGTAGTCGGCATTACTAAGCGAAATTTCCAAAGCTTATGCAGCGTGCAAATAGTATGACAAACTTGATCAGCATCTTTTTACCTCCGGGTCGAGCATAAAGCTTGACCCGACAAAATATAAAAGTACGTATGCCAGAATAGAATTAAGCTGTTTTGAAGGCTTGGCACAAAGATTTGCATTGAAATCTAATAGTTCTTCCTTCCTCTATTCTGGGTTTGTTATTTCGTCAACTAAAAGAATACAGTTGAAGTCATCCAGTTCCGGCGTTGCCTGATTGCGGCTTTAATAAGACAATGATAGCACGCTTGTGCCTGGAGAGAAACCATAAGTGGCTTGCGCTGCACCAATGAAAGCTCCATCGATACACATCATATCCCTTACAAAATCCGAAGGAAAGTGAAAGAATAATAATAAGTGGCGGATGTAGAAACACCCAACTCAGCTTGAAACACCATATGAACCAAAAAGAATTTAAAAAATACAAACATACAAAACAAGCAGTAGTTGCAACAGCGTGAAAGAAATGAACAAATCAAAAAGCTGAATTTTGTTAATGACTAGGGTGATCTTAAGCAAGTGCAAGTATACATAAGGGGAAATTAACGGACTTATATCCAAAAATAAAAGCGAGATACCTCGCGAAGTAGACAGGGGATATGTAGAGGAGAAAAGGAACTGAAAATTCAAATCAACTGCATAAGTTCAACGCTGGTGTATGGAGGAACAAGCTAGGAGTATTTCTATCTGTCCCAACTGCAGCGAAAGATCATGATCGCAACCTACATGGTTAACGTCATCCGGTTTCGGCGTAAACCTGAAGAAATAAGCCTGGAATGCATTGGTATGGGTGCGGCGTTTCATCAACGTGGCAGGGATCAAACGAGTCCAATATGCACAACCACAGCATTCCTATCTAAACGTGGAATCATATGTACCAGAAGTACAGTAGGCGGTGGCCGGGCCGTAGTCCGCACCACCTTGGCTGGAACCATTCTTCGACCCTAGCGGGACCAGGAGGACCGCGCACCCAATCCTCACCAGCAACGATTCACAGCCTGCTGGAGCCAGCAAAGGAGATGGATTAGGCATCTTGTCAACATGCATACCAACTGCAGTCGCACCATGGATATCAAACAACCACCACAGGATTCGAAGTGGAAATATGCAAATTGTCACGGAATATGAAGCAAACCATTAGAAGTGGGCAATGCCATTAAAGAGGAAAACTTTTATCAAAGTCAGCGAGATCTGGTTTCAGTGTAACTCGGTGTAACCGGGTGCGATAAGGAAATATAGTGAAGCACAGTAGTCCTCTACAAGAGCCAAACAATCAGATTCTGCATTGTTACTAAACAATGTAGATTTCCTATGCGACCTTGTAACACTGCTGTATAGAAAATGAAAAATAACAGTGTAACAAATTATACCTTATGAATATATATTCGCTTTAGCCTATAGATTCCAGAATTTATGCTTACATTTTATGTGTCAGAAAGCAACTAGGTATCCCTTGATAAATATTCTAGTAAGGAAGGTACAACACTGTACACAAATCATCAAGTCAAAGACGGCCTTCATACAACGGCGGTTAAACGTGAAAGGCCAGGGAAGTTTGCAACGCCGATCAAGTGATAGGACTAAACTCCAAAGTGTGAGAAACATACGAGGCAAAGGGCAGCATGTATTAGTACATTTAAAGACCACCAAAGACCTGTCCAACATCGTGGCATGTTGCATATGTATCGCTACAACACGCATGTAACTTGTAGCTATCTACTTAATGCAGGATGGAATTACAACTTTAGTTATAGATGACTTCGGTGGCTGAAAGCCAAAGGTTCTCCGCTTGTTACAGCATGTGAACTCAGACAAATTCACGGAAAAGCTACGAGGGATAATCAACGTCTTTCACTGAAGTTAAGTTGAAGTTGCAAGCTTAATTAGTTTTGCTAAGATGCGCAAATTTTAGTTCAGTGTAGTAGACGCTTAGATACGTAAACTAAGTGCTCTCGCCGCAGTTAGACGATTAAGTATACAGGAATTAAACGGTGGGCTAAGTGAACTGTTCATTTGGTAAGTTTATAAAAAGTTCAGGTCGGTGTACATCGAATTTGTCACTCGCCACTCGCAGAGATCTGGCTCAGGAACTGATGCGCAAGCCGTCAACCAGCTACGTATTCGCCAACAGCACCTGGAATATAATTGCTGATCAGTACTAGCAAAACATTTCTTTGCTGCCCCTAAGAGTATCTAAAACGGACGACATTATTATGGCTGTAGAATATAACGCACATATCGGTCGGTTGCGTCAAGCAAACACCCCCACTGTAAGCTGCATGTAAATAAAAAGGTTTGCTCTGACACCGGACAGAAGTTGCTCGGTCTGCAAGCTAACCATCAACTTGCCGCTTTAGCAAGAGCTATTAACGCACTGGAAAACTTTAAGCCAAGCGTTGTCCTCCTTCGTCGATTCAGCGCTAGTCAAAATTTCATCACTTGACCCTAAATCACAGATTGCACGGCAGCGTACGCGACTGCCAGTTATTTTTAACAAATAACGCTAAAGCGGAGCATTTAATGGCGTGCGCGACAATTTGCGTTTTATTGGCTCACCTAGGGGCATACGCACCCAAATGAACACCTATAATTTGAGGACCCAATGATGAAGTTGGTTAATGAAACCGGGGCTCCGTGAAAATCTCTCTCGTTTCCCTACTTTGATTTTGACTAACATCAGTTAGGTCCACCGCGAACTCTGCCGTTTTCTTGTTTGGCCAAGCGCGGCCTCGGCTGCTTCACAGTCGAAAGCCGAATTATGACAAGATTTACGAACATTCAAGATTACCGACTGTTTTGTCCTCCGGTCCAGCGCATAAGGAACTCCGACGATTTATCTCTCAACGGCCTAAGGCAAGTCTGCTCTAAACGTGAATTCTGGTGGTGTAAAGGAGCTGCCAAGATGGAAGCCGCTGCATCTGCTGGAAACTTCTGAAGCTTGTGTTTCGTCCTGAAGGCTACTGACAGAAATACGCTATACTTTGAA